CAAGCTGCTCCTGGAACAAGTGCTCAGCTGCTTGTCATGGAACTGGTAGTGGGAGATGGCTAGTTGCTGCTCTGCTAAGGGCTGAAATTGACCAGAATTAATGTCTAAGCCTTTCCCGGGAAGGTGTAGGACTTTAATAGGCTCCAGAGTTTCAAAATAGTTACATAAGACATAATCTTCCAATGAATTTGTTGTCTAAGTGGGGAGACAGATTTCTGGTGCTCCCTATTCTGCTATCCTTCCAGAATCCTCTAGGATAAATTATTTTTACATAGAAAATTATTTTTGGAAGCTTTGTCTCAGTCTAAGTTACAATAAAAAAAAAGAAATAAAACCTTGCATTTTTATTGTCTTCAAAGTACTTTATGCATTATTCTATTTTTCTCCCCTCCTTTCTTTCTTCCTATATTCTCTCCCTCCTCCCTTCTGTTCTTCCTTCAAAACTTATTTAGCGATTTTTCAGTTTGGGGAACTTTTACGTTTGATGAATTAACCATTTAATCCCTCTAATTCTGTCTTCTTGTCAACATTTGACCATTTTCCTGTTAACCCTTTCATTGCAGGAAAGTGGATGATGAGATTAATTGCTGAATGAGGTTAGCTATTATCACTGCATTCAGGTTTCCCATGTTCTCTCCAGCCTTTCTCCCTTTGAAGAAGGGGAGACAACTGAGATAGATGAAAGTGGAGAATATTTTTGTGACCTCTAGGGAAGAGAAGAAAAGAAGGGATATGGAAGAGAGAAGATATGATTAAGCCAATGTACATTGTTAAGAAATTTATTTGCAATTATTTGTGTGTGTGTGTTCATTTGTTAAACAACATCATTCCTTAGATAAAATAGCAATCTTACAGGAATATGCAATAGTGTCTCACACAGAAATGACTCCAAAGCTCTCCTTGAAAGGTTGTCCTTTTGGATTTCATGGCCTTTCTTAAGGGTAAGAAGACACCACCAAAGAGGCCTCTGAAAACAGGATCATTTGATCATTACTAACTCTACAGGAATATTTACAACAGTCAGACTGTGAAGTTGTGGAGTCTAGAGGGGAAAGGGTGGAGATGTGCAGGGGTGTGGGGGATGGTGACAATGGAGGCACTGCCCATCTTAATGATGCAGATTGGTTTGGGGCATGGAGGTGGGTCTGAGCAGGAGAATATGAGAGGAGGGATGGTGGAATTTTATCTGGAGGCTTTCACATAGAGGGAAGTTTTGTATGGTAGCTCTGTTGTATTAAGATAAAACACCAATTGTATGAGCATAATAGGCATTCTAGTGCTTCACCAACTGGGGATCTGTCACATTGTTTCCTAATGAACTCGTGTGTTTTTCCACAGGTTGTTTTCATCTGCTACCATTACAGACTGGTCCAGACCTGCTCATCCTTTTGTTTCCATCCCATTTCAGTGCAAGGCCTCATTTCCATGAGACTCTGGGAGAACAGCATGCATTCTGGGCAGGGTGGAACACGGTGACAGGGTGGAGTGTGGTCTGGCTGCGAAGTCAAGAGGTGGATTCCAGGTTTGAGGATGACTGCAGCTGGATGCATTGATGGCGTAAGGCCAGAAAGTAGAAGATGCTCACTGTGTTTGAGTCACAGAGGATGCCTTTTGAAGGAGCCCTCTGCACAGGACTGTGTTTACCAATCATCTGCCCTTGATCCTCAAGTTTGTTCCCCCAACCTAGTCACTTTTAAACACTGGTGTAGTTTCTCCATGTTGGGAAGTCTTCTCCATGTTGGGAAGTCTTCTCTTGGCTAAGGGCTCGGGAGGATTTCCTCGAGGGGGCCTGAAACCTGTACTCTCCAGTTCCTTGGCAAGCAAACAAGAGCTTAGCCTAGTGCCTGGTTGCCTCTTTTTTCTTTCCCCCTTGGTAATAAATTTGAGGGATCTAAAAATGCCAGAACAGGAATTCTCCAGGCTCAGTAAATGAGAACCATTCTGTCAATTTCTGCATTTTCCCATATAGAAATTATACTCTCTTAACATCTACAACTTCTTCCACTCAGAGCTTTCTCTGGTAATGACCTCGGTTCAAGGAGCACGAGTGATTTTTAGACGATGAATGTTTACTCAATGTATGATTTATGCCAGAAGTGGCATAGTACCCTTTCTGGAAGGGCTACAGAGTCAAATTATTTACATTCCGAAAATTGGGGCATATGAGAGAACCCACAAAGAGGGGTTCACCTATGAATCAGCCCGTATCTGATCTAAAAGCTCTGGTTACATAACATTCTGGTTACACAACATTTCGAGCTTTTGTTTAACTACTTAGTCTTTGTCTTGTCTTCTTTATTGTTAGTAGAGACATAGAGGATTTTCACGGAAAATCTCAACTCTGACTCTACTCAGTGTTAAACTGATTTGTTATTTTTAGTTTATTTATTCAGCTGCAATCCCTAGTGTCTTTCCAGAGACTAATTAAAAGGCTTTTCTAATATACCAGAAAGACCAAGGGTCTTTCCCACTTCATGTGCCGTGACTCAAATTTCTTAAAATCATCTGAGAAGTTAATGATTTTAGGAGGAGGAGTATCTTCTCAGTATTTATTTCATAATAATAATAGGTTCTGATGGCACTATTTCTACACAAGGAAGTCATTCTGGTTCTGTCTCCATGTCTGCCTACATAATGATCACCCTTGGGAGGAGGAAAAGTCTCTTATGTAGAGCTCAACCCCAGCCCTTGAACCTTAAGGGTGTGCATGTTCTGGGGTGTTCCAGCATCTCCTCAACAATGGGAGATTTAGTAGAAACCCATTTACCTGGTATAATGCTAACTGACTCCACAAAGCAACATTTCATTGCTTTGAAATAAAAAATTAATTAATTAAGATAAAACCATAAGTGGCTGAACACAAAGAAACTGTGTAAGCATCTATAAATATAGGTTAATTTTTGAATTACACACAATATAGTAAACCACTATTTTCAGTTTAATTAACTTTATACTCCTCACAATATTAAGAGAATTACTGACTCTAGACTTCTCACTTCCTGTTCTCTTTTTTCGCTTCTTCATGTCTGTCTGCTATGCCATTGTCTCTACCCTCATGCGGTTCGTACAAGTGCTCAGAATAAGAACTGAACTCCCAGGCTTCATGTATGCCAACAACAGAGATCATGAGGGATCCAAAAGCATTCCCAATACTCACTTTCTCTGACCTGCTTTCTCCCAGTAAGAAGTGTCAAAGAAGAACCCTATGCTTTCAGAGTAAAATTCCATCTTCTCCATGAGGGCATAAAAGTCAGGCCAAGGTACTAAGTCCATATCCATGTCTCTCTGAGCCTGTGATGCTCCCATTGAGGGAGTTCAAGTGGGTAAATTGTGCACAAAGTAAGACTCAGCTTCCTGAGATCACCTCAGATCTACCAAAGGGGATGATGAAAGGGGCTCAGGAGCTTTAGTAAGTTTTTGCTTATTCAGTTTTCCTCCATGACAAGGGGTCACCAGGGAGCCTGGTCACTGCTTCCCCTAATTTTGACACTCATGGTCTCACCAACACTATCTGCCTTGAATCCGTAAGAAGTGACCTCATTATGTCCTCTGCTCCCATTTATGTCTGTCACCTAAATAACTACAGAATTCCAAGCTATCTCTCATTCCCCTTCTTCTAATTTCCGTAAGTCTAACCTTTGTATACCTCCTATTCCCTACTTTTTATCTCAGATTCCAGTTCATAAATGAGCACTCTCTTCACTGTTACACACTCAGCAAAATCTGATTCCCCTGAAACCTGCTCATGCAGTGGCTGTTAACTTTTTCTTGCTGCTCTATGAATATAGGTAAGTCCTTTCTCCTCATTTTAGTTTCCAGACCATTCTCACTTCCTCCCAGCACAAAGAAAATAGCTTCAAATTTCATGTCATCAGATCTTAATACAATACCTCACTGCTGCAGTCATACCTACATCAAAGTTAAACTTCCCCTTTCCAAAGATTTTAGTTCCTCTCTCTTGTTTCAAGGTCAGTCTTAGCTTGAACCATGGTTGTTTTTAATATGCCCAGAGATGAAGTCTCAAACTTCATGAAACTGAAACTGAAATTTTCATTCTTTCCCGTATACCTGTTCCATACAGTCTTTCTCATCTCAGTTGAACACATAGGTTTGGTCCTAGCCTTTCTTTTAGCTCCCAGTGAGATTACACATGCAAGTATCCACAGCCCTGTGAAAATGCCCTCTAGATTATCAGAACCTGAGGAGCAATTATCAAGCACGCATATGCAGCTCAAAACACTTTGCGTAGCCACACTGGCTTTCTTGTTTCATATGATGCATCCAATCATTTGGGAAATATATTAACCTGTAAAGCATCTATACAAAGTCTTTCAATTAACTGGCCTGCTTTCTGTCCAGCTACCAACACACACTCTGAACTGGCAACTCAGTTTCACACCTCCATTCCACTCTCCTTCTAGGCGCATTCTGTGTTCCAGCTTCCTCCATTCTGTTCTATCCCTGCAGACACTCTCATTCCATTTATAGTACACATAAATAACCATAGCGTATTAACATCCACTTCTCCCACCCTTCCTTACTCCAGTCTCTTCATCCATTAGGGATTTATGTCATTCTTATATGTTGACTGTTGTTTCAACAGGAGGGAGAATAAAGAGTAGACAAACAGAAATTTGTCTGTTCATTCTACTCTCTTTTATCAGAAGCCCTATATTAATCAGCAAGTCTTCTTCTACGTCTAAAATCCTTCCATTTTTAATTTTATCCATAATTTACAAAATAATAATATGAGTAGATTTAGCTTTCAATATTTATCTTAGCCTTTATTAACCTCGGTTTCATAACAGAAGCTACTTTTTCAAAGTTTTATTGTCTAAGATTATTTTTGGAAAATTAGTGTTTGTGGTCTACCTTAGGACACAATGGGTGGAAGAAACATCGGTCTAAAGAGTCCTGAATCTGAGAAAGAGTTCTTTGACAATATCTGACATTACGAATGGCCTTTAAGAGCTGGAGTTTTTATAATACTGGCCTTTCATCCTTTGATTCAGACACTTGTTTTTAAGAAAGATTTTAGTCCCCAGGTTTGAATTGCTGAAAAAATCCAACAATCTTTGCCTCATGATTTTTAATAACCTGATTAAGTTTGTCAGTACTCTGTACAAATTGAGCAAATGTATAACATGGGTAATAAAGAAGAGAAAAAAATTGAAAGCAGGAGGGTATATTTATGAGTAATCTATTATATGGGTCATGTCTAGAATGAATGAGAAGAGTTAAAGAACAATTTCTAAATAGAATAAGAAGATGTAGGCTTCTCTCAAATGGAAATGATAAACTTGAATAAAATAGTTAAATCTTGACATAAGCAGAACAAGAATTTAAGCATCTGAATAATTCCAATATCAAAGCACAGATTCAATGGAATTAAACAGGTTTTCATAAGAGAAAATTTTTGGAACTATTTGGAAAAGATGTAGGAAGTACACCCTTACTTTGCATGAATTAAGAGAAATTGCTGTTTCAACATAAAAATAAAGCTGGCTGTAAGAATCTTCTTTAGGGAGTTGTTCTAGATGTTCCTCCTAAGAAAACTCAAGTGTCATTGATACCTTAGAAATATCATTAGCGAATATGTTATTATTTTGAGTTAAGAAATTTTTTGAGGTTCTTAAAGACAAGAAAAAGTTACCTATAGTACCTCTACGATTTTTAAAACAATTAAGTTGTACAGCATGTTCTCCAATTCTGAAAAAAGTAATATAATAGAGCAATTACAATTTAGTTTTCAATTCATCATCATTCAAAATCATGGACTTTTGGTATATATCTTTGCACTCATTTTCTTTCCCTTTGACTTTTGTCTCTATAAGCTCAGTTCCTGAAGAGGCATTTTCACCAGGTAGATGACACTTCCTCAAAAGAATTAGGATGATTAATCCTGGAATAAAGCTTGATCCTCGTAGTGCTGCCGGCAATCCAAGGTAGATGTATCTATTTTTCAAAAGTTAAAACATATTAAATATTACATAGGCAGTGTGGTTAGTGCAAACTAACTTTGTATATCTTTATATTTTACTCTGAAAATAAAAGTAGCTGATGGTTTTGTATGTTGATCTTACATAAGCAGCTTTGCTAAATTCTCTTATTAATTTCAATATTTATTAAAATGATTTTTTTTCTAAATTTCCCATTGAGAAAATCCAAATTTATCTTCTCCTAATGTTTTGTTATTGTCGTTATTGCTATTTTTTCATTGAATAGGATCTTCACCTTAAAATTAATACTGCTAGTGATAGCATTTTTATTCTAGTATTTAATATTTAATAGGAATGCTTCCAAATAATCATCATGAATTATAATAGACACTTTTGTGAGAGTTTCTTTAGATGATCTTGATCAGATTAAAGAAGTTCTTTGCCATTATGAGCGTGCTCAGAGTTTGGGTCATGAATGTGCATAATGTCACCAAATAACTTTTCTGCTTGTAGCTGGAAGAGTATCCAAGGTTTTTCTACCTTTATTGTGTTAATAGCATCTATTACTCCAATAGATATTCTGATGTCGAACTATTCTTGCATGCTTAAAATAAACCCTGTTTGTAATTTTTATGCATTATTAGATTCAATTTGTCAATTTTTATGTAGATTTTTTTTCATGTGTAAGGTTAGCCTACAAATTTTTGTTTTGTACTGAACTTGTTCGGTGTGATTATTAAGATTGTACTAGCTTTGTGAAATGAATTACCAAGTATTCCCTTTTTCTGATTCTCACAATAACTTGTATAATTTAGGAATCATCAGTTCATTGTAGGTTTTATCAGACTTTCCTGAAAAATATCTGAACTTGGTGCCTTTGGAGGCTGAGCATTTTTGACAGATTTACATTTTTAAGTAACTATAAAAATATTTATGTTTCTATAGATTTATAATAAAATCTGGTAATATATAATTGTCTAGAAAATTATCTATTTAATGTGTTTCTAAATTGTTATATCCAAAATCCCTATGTATTATAATATCTGTACTTACATTACCTTTTTCATCCTTAATGATGTTTTATTCATTCGTTTTCTCTTTATTTGCCTTTCCACAGTATTGTTATTAGTAATATCTTTTCACCTTTACAAAAACATAGCTCTTTACTTTCTGATTGCCTCTATGGTGTATAGTCTATTTATTAATTTCTGCTTCTTATTTTTATCTTTCTACTTCTAAAATTTTCTTTTATGAAACATTACTAGAATTCAGAAAAAAAATGAACACCAGTGACTGAATTTAAGGTCTACTGTAATCCATTATAACCTTATTTTAACTTAACTGATTCCATTTGTAAATGCTCTATTTCCAAATAAGGTCACATTGTGAAGTTCTGAATGAATATTAAATTTTGAGAAACACTAAACCCTGTAAAAGGTGTTTTACTTCAATTGGATTAAAGCATTGAATCTGAATTTAGTCTCTTGACTTCGAAGTACCTTATTCTCCCTTTGGAAGGCGATATCAGAAACCACTGCCCATTTCTTTTTAGAATTTTATAAATTTTTGTTTTGTATATTTGAAGTTATGTTGATAGATTTACATAGGTTCATAATTTTTTATATTCTTTGTTTTCTTTTTATTATTAAGTAATTTCCCATTAGGTTTTTTCCCTTTAACTTATATTTTGTTTAAATCATTAATATAACTGCAGAAGTTGATTTCGTACGTATCTGGTAGATCTTTTTAAAACTTGATTTCCAATCATTTTATATCTTTGATCTGTCTCTTATAAACAACACGTAGTTCAAATTTTGAAAAGTCTGATGTAAAAATTACTATCTTTTAACAAACAAGTTTAACCAATTTGCAAAACCACTTAGGCTTATTTTTTAACTTATGTGGAGTTTTTTTTCTTATGAATTACCACTACTGCATTTTCTTCCCTTCTATTGGTTGGAATAAATCTAATTAATCATCCTCACATTTTTCACAAAATTTAAAGGTAATCAGTAGTTTGTTCTCAAGAATTATAAAACAATCTGAGATTTTTACTTCCTTTGTAAGCTAACAGGCTAGACTGCCACAGTTTCATGGATGCTAACAGAAGATATAGGACCCATGGGTCAGGGACAAAGGACTTTTTTAGTCACAGCACAACAGTCAGCACAAGCTTCATGTTCAGGTTGGTTTTCCTTACCCTCCAGGTCCTAAAGACAGGGCAAGAACCAGGTAAACGTTGTACACACAGTGGATTTGGGCCGCAGTTAGGAAGTCCTGAGTTTAGAAAATCCCAATCTTTTAAATGGGCTTCAAAAAATCTGCCCAAACTTTGCCCCAGAGGGAGATATTTTCTTATCATCATGAACAACAAACTACCTGCCCTCTGTCCTTCTGAGAGACACTATATCTTCCAAGGTCATTTACTGTTCCAACATCCTTGAAAAGATAGTCCAGAAAGAAAAAAAAAGCTCTCAGTATCCCTGCTAACAAGAGAAGCAGAGATGTGGGGGTCCATAGAGAATTGTCTACCAACAATATTTACCCTTTATTTATAGAATATTTACTTCTGGGTAGATTTTATCATGAATATACCACTTCATCGACCAGTCTCATTGGTCTAACTGACAGAGAATGGAACTAAGTCTGTTTAGTGTCTCAAGCACCATTTAATTCAGAATCCAAGCAGCAGAACCAGGCCAGCTCTCAATAGTGACCCTTAGGGTTCCTCAACTGCTGTAGAAATCCACTGCATACACAGCATGTATCTGAGCTTGCCTCCACATCACTCCCGGGAGCTCCGAGGGAAGGGGGGATAGATGCAAGGATGAATCTCCTGCTATCTGCTCCTCCCATACCTCCTGACACATGTACTTTTGCTGATCAAGACAAAGATCTTAGAATGCATTAAACAATGCTAAATTGTTTTATACTGAGTAAAGTAGCTTTATTATTGCCCCATCAAGGGAAGCTAATTCATATTTAAACAAAACTCAAATTTCCTAATGAAAGAGTACATGAAAGTAGAAATAACCAAAAGTTTTATTCAAAATTAGATTTGTATTTACCAAAAAAAAAAAAAAAAAAAAAAAAAAAAGGCATTAGGAGACATGAAGACGATTGCTTCAGTGAAATTTAAAGAGGGAGAAAAAATATGATTTTGGAGACCAGAGACTGGTGGTGAGAGGAAGTGAGGCTTCAGACCCATGAAATCATGCAGGATAAAATAAAGAGGCTTTAAAGAGTAATATAATTTGGATAGGTATCGGCGTACAACCATTACCTTCAATATTGTCTTGATTGTTCAGAAATTAACAAACCAATTTTGAAAGCTACGGTTAGGGAAGACATGTGTGCTTATATTGATCAAGCACGTGAGAAATAATGGGAAAACAGAATTCTAGTATGCAAATAAGGAATGGAGATATAACATCAATATCTTTTCTGGAAATAAACATAAAAGTGTTCTTTTCACTTGACAAAGAAAAAGTTAGATATACATGGTTCTACATTATGCATAGCCTATGCTTATAAAACAATTTTAAACAAATTATTATCTTTACCTGAAGGTGGCAGAATCATATACTCTGCATGCCCCTGACTCACCACATTTCAAAGTTCCCCAGTGTAAACATGTGGAGTCCATTAAAACACCAAAATATATAGGTGCAGGAATGCCAGCTAAAATTAACAGAGAAAGAAAAATCTATCAACAGGAATTAAGCTACTTGATTTATTTGGAAATATTTCAATTTTCTTTATTTGCACTGCAAAGTTTAATAAAACATAAATCTAATGGTCTAATGAGTTACTTTTACTGTAAAGTTTCTAAATTACTAAAAGATAAGTTATACTATGGTTAAAATGCAACATAATCATTAGTAGAGTAAAACACTGAATTAAAGTTTCTGAGCTTCATATATTTTCTTAAATGTTTTGGGCCAATTATATGTACATTTTATTTTGGCAGAGCATTTTCTTTCATTTTATTTTCAAATCTTCAAACAGAAAAATAGTGTAATTAAGGTCAGATAGCGCCTTTTCAAGTAAAAGAAATTCTCTCCCTTTGTGTACTTCATTCTCATAATATTTACAACATGCTTTTTGCAAACAGAAGGGACATTTGCTAGACTGTTTTTCTGAAATAATTATCTCATTTACTTAATATTTAATATTGGTCTGATAGAACATTGCAAAAAAAAAAAAAAAAAACTATTTTTACCAAATACTCTTGTGCAAAATGTATGCAATCCCACACCGAGAGACTTCTCTTCAGACTTGATACACCTGAAAAGTAAATAAGTTTGTAACTAAAAGAAAAATAAAGGTTTAAAATTACCATAGTGTCTTAAATGGGCCGGTTGTAAGCTAGTCACACATAATAAACATTCAAAATTTTACTTTCATGCTCACTTATTGGTTATGCAAGTCTTTATTATCGAGCTGGTAGCCTACACAGAAGCCCATTTCTGGTCACTAGCACTTCATCCATCACTTTTTCTTAATACCTGTTTTAGTGACCAGGTGTGTAATGGATTACAGGATTACATGCCTGTAATCACAGCACTTTGGTAAGCCAGAGCGGATGGCTCACCTGAGGTCAGGAGTTCGAGACCAGCCTGATCAGCATGGTGAAACCCCCGTCTCTACTAAAAATACAAAAAATTAGTCAGGTGCAGTGGTGGGCACCTGTAATCCTAGCTACCTGGGAGGCTGAGGCAGGAGAATTCCTTGAACCTGGGAGGCAGAGGATGCAGTGAGCAGAGTATGCCACTGTACTCCAGCCTGAGTGACAGAGCCAGATTCCATCTCAAAAAAAATATTTTATTTGTAATAACACAGAAACTAGATGACAACAATACACTAAAAATCTGCACTAAGAATAATACTTAATAAATAAATTTTATACAGTTCTTATTAAGATTAAAAAAGAACACTAATACTATCACAATCATAGTTAAAAAATTACTTGGAGGTTGTAATTTATGCTAAAAGGAAATTTTAGAAGTCTAAGGTGTGTAAGATTTGGAAGTGAAAAGACAAAACTTGTCATATTTGCACAATTGAAAAACCTACATAGAAAACCTAACAAAATCAACACATTATTAGAACAAATAAGAAAGGAGCTGGATAAAAGGTGAATTTTAAAAGACAGCAGCATTCCTCTAAACAGCAATAACCAACTAGAAAATATAAGAGAAAATGGTACTACAGATATACATATGTGCCTGTCTATATTATGTGTAGAGATGATAGGGGTAGAGATAGGGATACACACACACACACGGACACACACACACACACACACGCACAGACCTATCTGTCCAAAATAGTGTAAGAATTTATATTCATAAGGGAGGGGTGGAGCAAGAAGGCTAAATAGAAGTCTCCACCAATCATATCTCCTGAAGGAACACCAAATTTCACAACTATCTATACACACACACACACACACACACACACACACACACAAAACACAGATGCAAGAACGAAAAATCAGGTAAGCGCACACAACATCTGGTTTTAACTTCATATCACAGAATGAGGTACTAAAGAGAGTAGGAAAAACAGTCTTGAATGGCCAGCGCCAGCCCTCCCATTCTCCAGCAGCAACCACGTGGCATGGAGAGAGTCTGTGCACTTGGGAGAGGGAGAAGGCAGTGATTCAGAGGCTGCATTGAACCCCGTGCTGCCCTGTCACAGCAAAAAGCAAAACTAAGCTAAACTCAGCTGATTCTTGCCCATGAGAGCATTTAGACTAGTCATAGCCAGAAAGTAATCACGCGGCCCCACAGTTAGAACTTGAGCTCCAGCAAGCATGGGCAAACGTGTTCTCCATAAATAAACTTGAAAGGCAGTCTAGGCTGCAAGGACTACAACTCCCAGGCAAGTCCTAGTGCTGAGCTGGGCTCAGAGCCAGTGGACTCGGGGTCACATCACCTACTGAGACACCAGCCAGGGCAGCCAAGGAAGTGCTTGTGCCACCCTTCACACAACCGCAGGCAGCACAGCTTGTGGCTTCAAAAGAGAAGCCTTCCTTTCACTTGAGGAGAGGAAAGGAACAGGTAAAGAAGATTTTGTCTGCACCTGTGATACCAGCTCACCCACAGTAGGATAGGGCACTGATAAGGGTCATGAGGTGCCCATTCCTGGCCCTAGCTCCTGGGTGGCATTTCTAGGCATACTCTGGACCAGAAGGGAACCTGATGTCTTGAAGAGAAGGACTCGGTACTGGCAGGATACATCACCTGCTGGCTAAAGACCTTTTGGGGCCTGAATAACCAACAGCTATACTCAGGTAGCATGTCATGGGCCCTGGGTGAGACTCAGGTGTGCTGGCTTTAGATGAGACTCAGCACGGTCACAGCTGTGGTGGCTGTGGGGAGAGACTTTGAGAAAAGCACAGGCACAGGGAGCAAAGGGAATTTTGTTGTGCATTTTAGATAACAGCTCAGCCACAGCGGTCCCCAAACTTTTTGCATGAGGGACTGGTTTTGTGGAACACAATTTTTCCGCTTACCAGGCAGGAGTCGTGGATGATTTTGAATGAAACTGTTTCACCTCAGATCATCAGGCATTAGTTAGCTTCTCATAAGGAGTGTGCAACCTAGATCCCTCACGTGCAGTTCACAATAGGGTTCACACTTGGATGAGAATCTAATGTTACAGCTGATCTGATAGGAGGCAGAGCTCAGGGGTAATTCTCACTGCTCCCTCCTGCTGTGAGGCCAGATTTCTACCAGGCCAGGGTCTAGTAATAGTCTTTGGCCCAATAAGTAGGGACCCTTGGGGTAGAGCACCAAGCACATTTTTGCAGTCCCAGATTCTGGGCCTTGGGTCTTGGATGGCATTTCTGTACCTGCCCTTCCGGGCCAGAGGAGAGCCAGCTGCACTGAAGGGTGAGTCCTAGGCTTGGCAGCATTCACATAGGCTGGCTGAAGAACTCTTGTGCCTTAAGTAAACATCACTGTAGCCTGACAGTACTCCCTATGGGCCTGTGATGGTGGTGTCCATGGGGTGAGGCTCCTCTGCCTTTGGAAAGGGAAAGAAAGAGTAAAAAGGTATTTCTCATTGTCTGAGTGTTAGCTTAGCCACAGTAGAATAGAACACAAGGCAGATTTATGTGTCTCTGTGTGTGTGTGTTTTTCACCCATCGCAGGCTCCTAGTGGGCATCTCTGGACCTTCCTGGGGACTGGGAAAACTCACAGCTCTGAAAGGAAGGAGAAGAACATGGCTGGATCACCACTGGCTGATTGTAAAGTAGGGCCTTGAGCAAACATAGTTGGTAGCCAGGTAGAAGTGAGCCTTGGGTGAGACTAGTGCTGTGCTGGATTCCAGTCTAACCCAGCACAGTTCCAGTGTTGGTGACCACAGGGGTGCTTGCATCACCCTATCCCCAGTTCCAGGCAGCTCAGCACAGAGAGACTCCATTTGTTTGGGAGAAATTATGGCAAAAGAACAAGAATCTCTGCCTAGTAATCCAGAGAATTCTTTTGGCTCTTATCCAAGACCTTCAAAATGGTAACTCTATGAATCTATATGAACCACAGCATTATTGGGCTTGGGGGCCCAAGTCCTTTTGAATACCTGGAAAGCCTGCTTAAGAAGGATGGGCACAAACAAACCCAGACTATGAAGACTACAATAAATGCCTAACTCTTCAATGTTCAGGCATCAGCAAATATTGACAAGCATAAAGAACATACAGGGAAACATGACCTCACCAAAGGAACTAAACAAGGCAGCAGGGACCAATCCTGGGGAAACAGAGACATGTGACCTTTCCGATGGAGAATTCAAAATGGCTATTTTGAGGAAACTCAAAGAAATTCAAGATAATACAGAGAAAACATTCAGAACACTATCAGATGAATTTTACAAGAAGGTTGACATAAATAAAAATGAGCAGAAATTCTACAGTTAAAAAATGCAGTGACATACATACTAAAGAATGCCTCAAAATCCCTTAATGGCAGAAGTTATCAAGCAGAAGAAAGATTTAGTGAGCTTGAAGATAGGCTATTTGAAAATATATGGTAAGGGATATAAAAGAAAAACAGAGTAAAAAGGAGTGAAGTGTACCTACAAGATCTACAAAATAGTCTCTAAAAGGCAAATCTAAGAGTTAATTGCCTTGAAGAAAAGGTAGAGAAAGAGGTAGGAGTAGAAAGATTTTTCAAAGGGATAATAGCAGAGAGCTACCCAAACCTGGAGAAATGTATCCAAGTGCAAGAAGGTTATAAAACACCAAGCAGATTTAACCCAAAGAAGATTACCTCAAGGCATTCAATAAACCCATCAAGGTCATGTATAAAGAAATAATTTTTTAAATAATTTTTTAAAGGAAAAAGCTTTTACCTTCATATTTGGTGAAAATATCCTCCAAACATAAAGAAGGAATAAAGATTTTCCCAAACAAGCAAAAGCTGAGGGATTTCATCAACACCAGCCCATCCTACAAGAAATGCTAAAGGGAGTACTTCAATTAGAAAGAAAAGGGTGTTGCTGAGCAATGAGAATTCATCTGAAGGTACAAAGATACAGGTAATAGTAAGTAAGCAGGAAAATGCAAAATATTGTAACACGGTAACTGTGTTGTATACTCTTAACTAGAAAGACTAAAAGATGAACCAATCAAATATAATAATGACTTTTCAAGACATATGCAGTACAATCAAATAGAAATAGAAATAGCAAAATCTTAAAAATCAGGGGGACAGAGTTTAAATGTAGAGGGTTTTTTTTTAGTTTTCTTTTTGCTTGTTAGTTTCTTTACGCAAGCAGTGTTAAATTATTATCACCTAAAAATAATAGGTTATAAGATAGTATTTGCAAGCCTCATGGTAACCTCAAATCAAAAACACATACAACAAATACTCAAAAAATTAAAAAGCAAGAAATTAAAGCATACCACTACAGATAATCACCTTCAATGAAAGGAAAACAGGAATTTAAAAAGAAGGAAGAGAAAACAGAAAACAAATAACAAAATGGCAGGAATAAGTCATTTTTTAATGAATAAGAATATTTAATGTAAATAGACTAATAAAATGACATAAAGTAGTTGAATGAATTTAAAAAAAACAAGATCCAATTATCTGTTGTCCACAAGAAACATGTATCACTCATAAAGACAGAGACACAGAAAATAAAGGGATGAAAAAGTTATTCCATGCTAACAGAAACCAAAATGAGCAGGGGTAGCTATACTTATATCAGACAAAATAGATTTTAAGACAAAAACTATAAGAAAAGACAAAAAAAATAATTATATAAGGATAAAGGA